GTGGGGCCGAGGGCGCAGAGGTTTGTACTGCTTTAACTGTATTGGTTTGAAATTGTATCGTTACAGAGGTCTGACTCTCTAGCATGGACACAGTTCTACCAGCATAAAGGTGCTTGCCTCAGTTTAGTCCTGTAAACACTCCTGTAATAATGATTAGAGGAATAAGCTCTACTAGCGTAAGGCACCTTTATACTCCTATAACTGCGTCCATGCTAGGGGTGTATGGTTTTAACAATAAAAAAAACCATCCCCTCCCAACCGAAATAATTAAAGTAGACCAGGAGTTGCTCTTTAAAGGCCAAGGTCCCCATCTCATGACTGTGCAATCATACGTCAAAGGAAATGGTGAGAAAGCCTGTTGCATGCTAGATCCATGTAAGGAAGTAGGGATACGCTTACAAAACAGAGCGATAGAAATCAGAGAGGCAAGACCCACTGGATCATCCAGTCCAGAATTGTTCCCTAATTTAAACTCTCTCATCATTTCTAAACACAGAGTGTAATCCCTTGCGGTAGGGACTACATCTTTCTGTGTCCCCCATGGAGCATCTGCTGTGCAACACAGCAGTGAAACGGCAAGTTTGAAGCAGTGCAAAGGTGCAACGTTTCCTTCTCCCTTGCCTCAGCAGGCACCATGGAGATTGTCTACGTGTATGTGAAGAAGCGCAGCGAGTTTGGCCGACAATGCAACTTCTCCGACCGGCCGGCCGAAACCAACGTGGACATCCAGCCAGACCCGAGCCAAGCCAGAAACTTCATCGAGAGGGACCCCATTGATGCTGCAATACAGTGTGCCAGTGATATGTCGGAGCATGAGGTACAGTGGGAGCAAACAGAGCTCTCTTTTAATGAATACTTGCTTGCAAGGCTCCCTCTGACAGGATAAGAGGGATGTGTCGCTGAGGGGGTTGCAAAGTTGGGTATGCTCAGCAACGCAAGGTGCCCGTAGTCAGTGATAAACTGGAGATCTTCTGGGACCCCGTTTGTAGGAGGAGGATATAGGTATCAAGATCTCTTCTGGAAGAAATACAGTGGTGCTGCTGGTGTAATAATGGTACAATATTCAGAGAAGTTTGCAATGATATTATCTCTGGGTTCTCGCCCATCTCAAAATTCACAAGATGGAGCTAATGTTTTCATTGCTGTCTCCTGCAGGACAGTTAAGAGCTCGGAGTTTGTCTAGTGGTTAAAGCAGGAGACGGTTCTATTGGTTCTGATTCGCTGTGTGACCTTGGCAGCTCTAAGATGCTAAGACATAAAGTGGATTTGATCTTAGCTACCTCGCAGGAAAGCAGGTGTGAGGCTCCGTGGATGTTTGTAGCATGGCTTGAGATCCTCCGAGGAGAACCACCGCCATAGCAGGAAAGAGACTAGTGTGTTGCAAACCTGGAATTCCATGAAAAAAGGGGGCAGTTGGGGGGTTCTCACTTCTCTGCAGTCAGTGATGGTAAATAAAGAAAATGATTCATGAATGATTTCTTAAGAGCTCCCAGAGACGGACTGGTCCTTTGCAAAGCCAATCTGCTCCGCTTGGGTGAGATGTGAGAAGCTACTTTGGGTTTGAACAGTGGAGAAGTAGCCAATAATTCTTCATTCCAACGCTGGCCCCCGTTTGCAATCACGTTGTTGGAAACCCCTTTTCCTGTGTGGGGAGTAATAAAAGTAACAACTTTGTTAGTCCCATTTGTTAACATTCCCAGATGAACTCTGTGCCTCCCTTGTAATTTGCCCAGTATACACAATAAGGGATCGCTCAGTTATAAGGTGTAATGCTACATGATCCCCAATGCACTCCAGTAGATGGAAGTTGAGTGGGAGCGCTACGGACATTTGGTGAAGTGATTGTCCATAATTCCATTGTTAGCCACAAAGGGGACTACAAGTTCAACACTTGGTTATGGCCAGAAAAGTGACTGTAATGCTGGCAGCTTTTCCCCATCTGTGTGTTCAAGTCAGATCTGCTGGTGAAAATAGTGTTTACTCCCCTTTGCCCTGCTGGAGCAGTGCAGCCGGAGAGGAGTGTGCAGGGTTCTAGTCTGCCTTGTGCATCAGCAACTGAACAGCCTGTTCTATTCTGACTGCCGGCTCTTTAGTCTTGGCGATGGCATAAGAACCAGAGAGAAGAGGGCTGAGTTTTGAGAACCCAGGTGGAGTTTGCAGCACTGACAAAGCCAGGGAAATCTTGATTGGTAGTCTGAGCACTGGCTGGATCTGGAATCACTGAGGGAGTAAATGCTAGACCCCACAAAGTCAGCTCATGGAGCAGCTTTAAAAACCAAGCCCATCAGCTTTGTATCTTGCTTCTCTCTCTCTTTGTGTAACACTTCAGGTCAACACGGAGAGATTTGAGATGGAAAATGAGGGGGTTAACCACTTGGAAGGAGGGTGGCCAAAAGACGTCAACCCTCTGGAGATGGAGCAGACCATTCGCTTCCGGAAGAAAGTGGAGAAAGATGAGAACTATGTCAACACCATCATACAACTCGGCAGTGTAAGGCCACTGTCCCATCCCTTCCTCCCGCTCTGGCTGTCTGCATGTGTTACAGCTCCCTTTCCCATCATGCTCTGCTTGCTGCCTGCCCTCTCAAGCCAGTAGCTTTCCCAAATGTCACATCACGGCTTATTTGCATGACTTGCTTCACAGCTGATGGAACATTGCATCAAACAGAACAATGCGATCAATATCTACGAGGAGTACTTTGACGATGAGGAGACAGCAGACATAGCAGATGAGCCTCCGTCTGCAAAAACCATCAATGTCTTCAGGTATTGGCAGCCAGGAGGTGCTACGCTGTGCTCTAAGCATTCGCTGTTCTGTTCCAGTCCATACTGACCACTGGGCCAGCTGAGGCAGCTACTTCAGTTAAGCCTGCGCTGTTAAGCTGCATCTGCTGACAGGAGCAGGCATAACTGAAGCAGCAGATCCTAGCAGCAGTCCATCTCAACCAGAATTAACTGCAGGACATCCCAGCTATTTGAATGGAAGGCTGTAAGTATAGCCTTTCTCCTGATAGAAAGCAACAGAGGGTCCTGTGGCACCTTTAAGACTAACAGAAGTATTGGGAGCATAAGCTTTCGTGGGTAAGAACCTCTCTTCTTCAGATGCAAGTAATGGAAATCTCCAGAGGCAGGTATAAATCAGTATGGAGATAACGAGGTTAGTTCAATCAGACAGTCTCTCTCTGCACTCGGACCAACCCTGTCAATTTCATCCTTGGAGAGTAATATATAAATATAGATGCTCCTTTAGGTATTTCCAAATAATTCTCCTGGGGGTGGCGATTACTACAAGAGTTTAATGCCCCGCCTCACTCTGATTATTTGTTCCGATCACTGAAAGCAGACTGTTTTTCCTTCACTGTATTTTGAGCAGTAATTAACACGTCCTTCAAAAACCAGTCAAATAATGTTCATATGGGGAGGATCTAATGGACTTGGGGTATTATGGGGCTCTTCAGTGAGTATCCCAGGTTTTAATATCTTTTGTATCACACAGTGTCAAAGGAATCTTCCTTCTTTTGTTTCTCAAAGATTTTTTTCAGTGTTAGGGCCTGTGTAGTAACTTTTAAAAGTTAGATCCTGGAATGTAATTGAATTTCTATAAATTTCTAACTAGAAAGGTTTATTAGCTCATCTAGGTCTTCCTTTCACAACTCACTGCAGGATTGTTTCCTGTAATCAATACTCAAGGGTTTTAACCTGTTTTAATTGAGGTTCCCGCCACATCCCTTGGGCAACTATTGCATAGCCTGGAGCATGGCAAAATTGTTAGCAAGTTAATGCCATTGTTTTATTATCAAAAAGGGATCCAAATGTAATCAAAAGGACAGCCACGCATCTCTCCTGGCACCCAGATGGAAGCAAGAAGCTGGCAGTAGCTTATTCCAGCCTGGAGTTCCAGCGAAGCTCTAAAGATATGAGCTATGAGTCATACATATGGGATCTTGGTAAGAAGGAAAAATGCTAGAGTTAGTCATGCTTGCCACTAACATGGTCCTTAATGTCTATTAAGTGCTCTGAAAGTATTAACTAACTAATCCTCACAACACCCCCCGTGGAGAGTAGAGAGGAGGTTGACTCCTGTTTTACACATGGGGAAATGAGAATTGGGGTTCAAGGTATCTGAACCCTGACCAAAATATGGAAAACAACCTGTAAAGACCCACTCTCTGCAGGGCCGGATTTACACCTTACGTGCCACTAGGCACAGCATCTTCAGCGCCTCCACTGCCTACAGCTGACCTTGGTGTTTTTCGTAAAAAATGAAATGAAAAGAAATATAAACACAGCCTCCCTGGGAAGGCATGAGACCCTTCACCACGCATGGCGATCCCAGCCTGAGCCGGGGCGCAGCCCACCTGCCCCAGGAAAGGTGCAAGGTGGGGGGGGGGGACTGTACCTTTCCCCACGGCGAGCAGTCCCCGGGTGTCTTCCGTCCCTCCCGCAGCCTGGCGCGGAAGCCGCGCTCCACCTCTGCCCATGTAAATGAATGAGGCATTGGCCACGCCCCTCCCTCTCCCTCACTGGCATGGGGCGGAGGCAGCAGGGTGGCCGAGATTGGGAAGGGGCTGGGACGCACCTAGCCAGCACCTTCAGCAGCCACACACCCCAGCCACGGCTCACAGCGCCCCCAGGCGGGCTGACTTAGACGCTCACCCTGCTCCAGCCCCACACGCTAGGCAGCCACCAACCCACACCAGGAGCCTGGCCGCCCTCAGGAGAGCTGTATGTGTTAACTTTTAACCCACTTTTAACTTTTAGGCGCCCCTAGAACGCCGGCGCCCCCAGTGCCTAATTGGAAATCCGACCCTGACTCTCTGGCTTCCCAGGATAGAGCCCTTCTCGCTTTTCCCAATGAGCTCAGTTATGTTTTCCAGACACGCTGGATTGTTGAAGTAGCTTAATTGCCCATTCTGTTAAAAAACAAGAAGCAACACAACCCCTGGGTTGGGAAAATCATCTTGCCGAGGAGCTTCCCAGGTGGATAGAACTTCAGTGCAGTGGGGACGGGATGGGGGTGTGACAGATAGGGACGGTAGAAGCAGGACTCAGTCCACCACTGAAAAACAAAAGGATGACAAGCAAACGGGGCGGTGGCAGTGGAGTGTGAGGAATGGACACCTCTTCCTCCCGCCATCCTTTCACACGTGACTAGACCTTTCACAGCCACAGGGGGCTGCAACCCCAATCTAACAGATAAGGGAGCTGGATACCTTCCTTCTTCTCCCAGCTGTCTGTCTAGTGACTTGCATTCCCAGCAGCTCGGAGCTCCTCGGTAATGGTCCCATCTGCTTTTTTTTCCCCTTTAGAAGCAAGGTGCTAAATGGGAGAAGAGTCCTGCAGAGTGGAGGCAGAAAGCGAGCACTCAATGCAAGACTCCTCCTCTTTCTGCCCCAAGACATGGCATGGCTAATAGTCTGTTTTGGGGGGAGACGATGAGGTGCATTTTTATCTGAGGCAGAGAGAGGAATTGCTGGTCTATTTCAGGCCCAGAACTGGAAGTCAGGACTCCTGGGTTCTCTTCCTGGCTGCTGTGATACCTTGGGCAAGTCATTTCCTCTCTCTACCTCCGCCTGTACAACGGAGAGAATACTTGTAAAGTGATTTCAGGTGAAGAGTGCTGCAGAGGTGCTAGAGATGACTCCAGATTAGTACATTGGAGTAATGGTTCCTACCCTGCCTCTCGCTAGCATTGATGCTGGGAAGACATGGGTGCTGGAGGTCACTGGCTAGTGTCCAGCATTCCTGAGCTGAATTAGTTGGAAATGTTGTTTTCCTTCTGGGCTTCACTCAAACTTTGCTTTTCTCTGTTTTGTCCCTTCCCGATAGAAAATCCCAACAGACCAGACCTGGTTCTCAGGCCATCATCCACGCTTGTGAGCCTGGAATACAACCCCAAAGACTCTCACATCCTGGTTGGAGGATGCTATAATGGACAGATCGGTAAGGGACATGGATTGTATATAAACGCTACCAGGGGAACTGCTTAATTTTAATTCTGCGCTAGCCTTGCTCCAGTGCTAATCTGCACAAAGACTCCTTAGTGTCATTAGCTCCAAGGCCTGGAGTACTGAATTGGAATCAGAGCCCTGGGACTGGCATGACTGATGAGATAACACACGTTCACCTGATTAGGCAGCAGGTGGTGGCCGTGCAGGCTATGTGGCTAGATAATTCACCGTGATGCGATTGTGATCCGGGGGAAGCCCATTCTGTCAGTGGCGGAGGTGGGTCGCCCTGGACGAAGAGGCTGTGTTATTTCCTAGAACACCCACTTTAAAAAAAGGTGGCCATTTCATCTGTTTATCCCTCAAAACTTGTCAGGCACTTTCCAGATGGGAAATAGACAAGGATGTAGCTGGAGGAATGTTCTGAATTACTAAGTAACTTCAGTGCTAGTGAAATCAGCAGTCCCTGGGGACCAGAGGCTCACGCTTGTCCATAAAACAGGTACAGCCCAAACAGTGTCAGTAAGAGCTTTCTGTGCCCTCTACACGCACTCCCTGGCACCAGTGTGACTCAGACCCATTATGTAGAATGGGCAGGTGGGTCTCTGTGTCCATCCAGTCTGCCTGTGGGCGCTTGTCCCTTCTGCCTCTCACCTGCTGGAGTCAGTGCAGTGGGGACAGGAAGGGTGTGTGTGAGAGAGATGTGGACATTAGAAGCAGAACTGTGTCCACCAACACCCATCAGCATTTTATTTATTGTCAGCAGTAGGCCAGATGTATCCCATTGACATCAGTGGGGGAACCCCCCTGTCCCCCACCCTGGGATGACTCTGATCCATTGTGTTCAAATAGCTACCATCGCCAACACAAATGTTCTCTCTGGCGATGCCCTGGGCATGTCTTTGCTAACCAGAGCGTCCTTCCTGGCTGCATGGCTGTAGATACACCGTATCATCAAGCAGGCTAGAGTTGAGGACAGGAGGCTGCTGTTGTCGAGCCCACGTGCTGTACAGAACACTGTGTATCAGGTAGCTGCTGGTGGATAGTGTTACCTGCTATTGCTCGCTTCCCCGCTGATGTGCCTCGGGAAGTGAGCAGTGGCATTAGAAAAGCTTGGAATAATTGCCTTCATTTCATTTGTAGAATAATTTTTGTTCCCTTGTTTTAAACATTAAAAGAGGCTCCCCCTTTGCCAGATCCGTGTAAGATTCTATTATTTATTCAGCCACGCAAGCCTTTCAATTTAATTACGCTCATTTTTATGTTTTCGCTGCCCTTTGCAGCTGCAATCTGATCTGGCAGGGCATACATTAGAAGGACATTATCATGCGCTCCTTAGGTGATGGAAGAGAGAGTCGATTTCACCTCATCCTTCACAGGGCTCCCCAGGCGTGCAGCTGATGGCCCAGCAGAGCACACGCTGTCACATTCAATTGTTTAATTATAACCGAGCAAGAGCAAGCGAGTGCCACTCTGCCATGTCCGCAGAGAATCAACCCGGATGCCTAACCCTGGCCAAAGCAGGGCTGGGCAAGTCATTTACACCCAAAACGTGAGCTGCCTTTATGCTGCGCTAGGGATTCTCCTCAGCAGCATCTGTGCCTGTCTGATGCAGAGATGTGCATCTATAACATCCACTGTTTACGTAGGACCTCCGCTGATTTGTGCTCCTGCAGAGCCGTTAGAGGGTGCATGAGTTACAGGGTGTGGAGTGGCTTGACGCCAGCCTGCTATGTGATCTTGGGGCCTGGATTTAGAAGGGCCAAGCACCCAGACCACCAGCTGGAGTAGATGGGAACTGGGGTGTTGCTGCATACATCTCTACTGGGGATAGTGGTCATCCCCTGCCTCTCCAAGGGCAGTTGGGACACTTGGACTTTCCTACACTGGAGTTTTTGGCTGCTGGTGTAGCTGCATCAGTGACTTGCTTACCCCAGCTTCAGGCTGCCCTGGGGAACTCACAGTTTAGCCTTTATTCAGCCCATCCACACTAGGAGTTGCAACAGTTTATTGGCAGCTAAAAACCCCAGTGTAGGCGAGGCCCAAATCAGTGGCTGGTTTGATGGCTCTTTTGTGATGAAATGCACAACGTAAGTGCCAGGTAGTCGCAAACCCTGCTCCTTATTCCTGGCATCACTGGGGCGCTGCTGAAGTGATAGCCAAAGGAAGACAAACTCCACGTTCGCTTCATCCCGTTAGAAAGCACCGAGAGGGGAAACAGCCCATGGGAGCCAGGTGGAGCAGAACCAAAACACTGGGGGGAAATGGTTATTCGCCAGGTCCTCTCTGGGAACTGCAGCCAATGGAGCGGGGCAGGGGATATGACACAGCTGACGGTCTCCTCCCCTTCACAGCTTACTGGGACACCAGGAAAGGAGGACAGCCGGTGGAGCTTTCCACCGTAGAATTCAGCCACAGGGACCCCGTGTATGGAATGATCTGGCTTCAATCCAAAACCGGCACAGACTGTTTCTCCGCCTCTACCGATGGGCAGGTAAAGGCCAAGAGAAAAGGCGGTCTGTGGTCTCCGCACGGCCAGCACCTGGCATCACCAAACGGCCACATGGGACTTGGTAGCACTGACAGTCTCTGCTCAGAGGAGTTAGTTTGCCCCGAGCACTCTACTGCCCCCCACCCACAGAGAGGAAGCGTGGATGTACGTGTGTCCTGCCATTGCAGGTCCAGGCATTCATGTGTTTGAGTCAAGAGCAGCTGCTACCTGATGCTGGGTAGTAAAAGTGCCAGCATCTCTATACGAGAAAGAAACTCTGGGGATTATGAGAGCGAGCTGCTCTGATGTCTCCCATCCCCTCCGCCAGGTCCTGTGGTGGGATATCCGTAAGCTGACCGAGCCCACTGAGACACTGGTGATGGACATCAGCAGGAAAGGAGTCTTGGAGAACGCTTTAGGAGCCATCGCGCTGGAGTTTGAACCGACCATGGTGAGTCTTTCCCACCAGAGCTCACGTTGGAGGCTTTGTCCTGTGGTAGCCATTGTTCCAAAGACCTCAGGTGTCCCATGTTACTTCCCGCTCAGGCTAAGGGTGCTGAGTGGAGCTTGGCAGGCTTGTGCAGTGCTCCTAGGCCAGAAGCATGGTGGCCAGGATGCAACGCTTCAGGGAAGAAGTACCCAGTGGTGGAATCCTTAGGCACCGGCTTGGGTTATGGCCCAGGGGATGGGGAGGAGGGAACATACATGTCTGTTGTATTAATTTAGATGGAATAAATGGGCCAAAATTACTGTCTGACATTAACCAGTGTTAAATGAGGTCTGGGGTTTGGTATACAGAGGCATTTGCTTCCTTAGTACTCTGGTAAACACTCGGTTAGGAATCCTTTTAACCTTTTATTAAAGATACAGCAAAGAAGGGCAAACGGTAAAAACCTTTGAAGTGTTAAATGAGGCTTTCATTTTAAAACAGCCCTTGTTCCCTTTCCCTTAGCTGGAGAGTCTTTAAAGGGAAACCCCCGTGTTTGACAGGCTCTTAGATGGCATTAAAGCTGGTAATAATTGTTCTTTCGGGGGAAAAGAGAATAAGTGAGTTGAGCTGGGCTGGAGCTGGCATTGTCACTGTTGTTGTTAAAGTTCAGTCCCATTTCCTTTATTAAACAAAACATGACAGACACCCGGAAAAGGGGGCGAGAAAAGAACGGCTTCTGTCTCTGATGTTGACTCTCACTTGCACTCTCGCTGCTGGAAAAACACAGGCACAGAACATGGTCTTATCAGCCTCTCCAAGTTCTGGCAAACTTTTACCAGCAGGGGGCTGTTTAGGGCATTTTATTTAGCTGCCTTTTTGGTCAGAGGCTGTCAGCAGTATTATAAAATGTACAGTCTTGGGATGGCTAAGCCAGACTCTTATTACACAGAAGGAAAGAGAGAGAGAGGAAAGAGAAGAAATAAGGCAGGGAAGGAAAAGGACACATGGAGGTGTGGGGAGAGAGAGAGACACACACACACACCCCAGATGGTGTTTGGGATTCAGCCAGGGGAAGTGGCGGCATCAGCTGGGTCCCTCTCTCTGCCCCACTCTGGCCAGGACGTTTCTCAGGATTAGAATTAAGGTGGTCCAGGGTCCCAAGAGGCGGTGGGGATGGTAGCCATGATGGTGAAGCTCACTCCAGCAGACAGTTTTTCTCCCAAAGTCTTTCTTCAAGGACCCCAAAAGGCTGTAATGGGCAGAATAGCCTGTCCTCTCATTATTTTGTCCACCGATTAGGCCTAGTTTCCAATGCATCAGTTGTGGTTCACTGATTTCTGGTTCCACACTTTTCTCGTTTACTCAGCATGATCTTAACACAGTCCTTGAGCTATATCAGGAGGCCTTTGTGTTTGGACTAATTCAGTCTGTCTGCCTCTGCAGCTTTCCCCATCAACACTTGTTATTACAGGTTATTGGGACATCTTACGAACTTTCACACACCTCCCACAGCTGAGCTCACAGTTAGAGTGAGCAGGGGCTGAAGAGCGTGAGTACCAATTTCAGGGCAGACTATTAGGAACCAGGGCACGATTGTTCACCTTATTGTTCACCAACCAATTACCAAGTACAAACTCCTCAGGCACTATCACGGCTGTAACATGGAGTCACAGACAGTTCTCTTGGGTACGCCAATCTGTCTCACCACTCAAGTCAGCCTGCCTTTGCGATAGATGGTCCCTTACACCAAGAACCACAGCAATATTCAGGTTACTCCCAGCCCCAAAGGACCAGTCACTTACCCCAGGTCAGTTGCACCTTAGATCTCACACCAAAGACAACGCTTGTAGCCAATCCTATAATAAACTATCTAAAGATTTATTACATCAGAAAAGGAAACCAGAGGGTTATTTACAAGGTGAAAGCAGGTAAACATAGAAACACAAATGAATTACAATCTTAAGTTTCAAAATATAATAGAAGCTTCTCTAATAAGCAAGCTCTACGTGTTGTTTAGGGCTAACTCCGTCTCCGCAGCTGGGGATCTCTTGCTTATGCCTAGAAAAACTTGCCTCCCCAGAGTCCCAAGCAGCACGGAGATAATCAGTTCCTCTTCATTAGGGGTTTTATTCTCTTCTTCACCTGCTCTTTTGGTTGCAAAGCTCAGCTGATGGGTGGAGTCCGAGCCATGGCTTATCTTCCTGGGGAGGAGGCAGAATAACAGCAAAAGTCTTTTGTCCTCTTCCTGACGGTATGTAGGGAAATTCCAGCTGCAGCATCCCACAATAGTCCATCTGATATTGATGGACTTTTCCTGTTGGGAAGGGCGTGACACCTTCTGTTGAAGGTCAACCCGTCACACTAGTTAATGTCTCTCTCCTGTCTGGTGATTGACACAGTCACTGAGGTTCACAATACAACTGCTCAAATATTACTTTACAATATGGGATGTGGATGCTATAAGTGAGCTTAATGCCGGCTGCAAGTCCCAAACATTCAATAAAGTCTAAACGCTAAATGCATTTGTAAAACTCTCATACCTATTTTAACAATACTAACCCCGTTGAGCCAGACAGATGCCTGCTAAGTATTTGTCAGTGTTCAACTGAGACAGGGGGACCTTGGCATGAGCTCGCACCTGGCCTGCCAGCATCGCCTAGGGTACATTTGTAGGCCCAGTTAGTATGACATCTCATACGGTCCTGGCGTTGTGTAGGGTGCAGCAGGCAAACCAGGTTCTCGACACACTGGTTTATATTTCTCAAACATGTTGATTGCCTGTGCTTCCACACTGTTCACATGCTTCATTACCATGCACCACATCTGTCTGCATTCAGAGTAACTCCACTGGCTTCCATGGGGTTACTCTGGATTTACATCAGCGGTGCTGAGAGCAGGATGTGGGCCCACATGGGTGGTGTACAAATCTGCTTGAATTTCAAAGAGAGGCTGGCCAGTGCCATAAAGCATCTCGAATGCTGCAGGTGGTAATCTCTGCACACAGCATGGATTTCCTTCACGGAACCAGCACTTAACAAGCCAGGAATTTATTTATTTTCTCCTGATCTTGGCATGCAACTAAAGGTCTCTGTTAGAAGACTGGGGTGATAATGGCGTGAGATTGTTGTTTGTTGCTAAAGTAGAGTATTTGCAGCATACACAGGGCTCTTCCCTGGGCAGCCTGCTGGGTTCTCCATTAGTAAGTGTAAATTATCCAGTGTTGTGTTTTGGCTTCCCTTTCCCTGCTATCCCTGCAGTTGGTTGCTGTCAGAGACAGGAAAAATCAGATGTAGACTCTAAGGGATCTCTAATCTCCAGAGCCAGCAGGGGCCTAGCCATGATAAGCATCTTTATCTCTGCGGTGCAAGCCAAGCAGTGCTGCAGTCGTTGAGAATTTGCGTAGAGCCGGTGGGGGGCTGCAGTTGATAAGTATCCTGCTCTGTGTGCACAGACATTGGGATGGTTACAAAGCGATGAGGCCAGCAGTGGCTGAGAGTTGGGGGGCTGCTTTGACACTGGCTCTGCAGAGCAGACCTCAACCACATGGAAGTGCCTTTGCTTTAAGTGTAGCCCTGAAGACAAAGGAGCCGAGCTGTCTATGACAATGGAGGGATGGGGAAGGCCTGTTGGATGAGACTCCATCTCTCCAGCAAGGCATCAAGAAATGTAACCTCAGTTTACATGCACAGTACATGAAGCGTAGGCAAAAAAAATAGCTGGTGCGTGTCCAGGGAAATGCCAGAATTCTAGGCAGTCACTTGATCCTCAGCGGATTCCACGCGACTTTTGGCAGCTTCGGGAAGCCGGAGTTGGGCTTGTTCCTAGAACAGTGGATCTCGCCAATGGCGCGCTAGTTAATAGTACACCTGCCAGTTTTCAATGCTGGGTTCACTTCTCCTCTTGATGCACGTTGGAAGAAAGTTTGCCTGCATAACTCCTACGGGCATTACTTGGATCCAACCACACCCTCACCCTCCACTCATCTAGAGGAGAACAAACCCCCTTGCTAGGACCTGCCCTTCATGTGGGAGATCCTCTCCTGCTGGAAGAGCATCCCCACACCCAGTGACAGTTGCGTTCCATTGTGTTTCCAACCACAGCCGACCAAGTTCATGGTGGGGACGGAACAAGGCGTGGTGATCACCTGTAACCGCAAGGCCAAGACACCTGCGGAAAAGATAGTTGGCACATACAGTGGACACCATGGCCCCATCTACGCCCTGGCAAGGAACCCTTTCTTCCCCAAGAACTTCCTGACAGTCGGGGACTGGACTGCTCGGATCTGGTCTGAGGACAGCAAGGAATCATCCATCATGTGGACCAAGTAGGCGATGGGTTGTTTTTTTTGCACTTACTGTTTCTGTCCCTGATTTATAGGCACAGGATGGGGTTTCAGAAGCATCTCAGTGACAGAGGAGCACAATTCTCAGTTAATTTTAATGGCACTTCAGTGCTGAATCACTGGGCTTTGGAAATCCCGCCTGCGGCCCCTGCGAGTGGTGGTGGCAGGAAATTGTTCCTCCCCCGACAATTAGGTTTCTTTAGATTTCCCCCTGCAGAGCCCCGTAGTGAAGACAGAAGCAGAACAGGAGTGAAGGGACCTGGATTCACTCTGTGTCCAGTTGTATGTCCCAGCCCCCGTATATGTCAGAGGCAGCTGCCTAGCGTATCTAGCACGCACTCAGGGAATGTTATGTGGCACTTACTCCAATGTAGCATAGCTCTTTCACATGGATTCTTCAGCACCAAATGGTGTGAATGAGTTGTTCTGAGAGCTGCTGGATTTGTTGGCAGGTACCACATGGCTTACCTAACAGACGGGTGCTGGAGCACCATCCGGCCAGTTGTCTTCTTCACAACCAAAATGGACGGGACGCTTGATGTCTGGGACTTCCTCTTCAAACAGAACAACCCCTCCCTCAGCGTGAAGGTTGGGTCAGAAACACGTCTTCTTTTATCTTTGTGTCTCCGCCTCGCCCGCTGGGTGGGAGCTGCGGGGATCTGAACCATTGCAGGGATGCGGTAGGTGCTTCGCAGACCTCTCCCGAGGCCGGTGGAAGGCTGCACCCCGGCAATGATTTGAGTTGCCTGTGTTGAGCTCTGCAGCAGGAGTGAGCTAGCAAACGCATCCTGGCCGGCCCGGCTGTGGAGGAAATCAAGTGGCCAGCATAAGCTCTGGTGCACACACGGGCACTCACCAGTGTCTCACTGTTTGGGCAACCCAAACCTGTAGGAAAGAAATGTTCCCGCCAAGCTTTTGCTATGTCCGTGTCTCCAATGTGCCCAGGCCTCCCTCCTCCCCCGTTTAGGCCATGTCACACATATGTGAAAACATCTTTTAAAATCATTTGCAGCGAGTATTAATGACTAGTGCCTGAGGCGCTTGTGTCAGTCAGTCCTGACATGCTGAGCCTGCCCTGACACAGGTGCCCTGACTCTCTGGTGATGGGCAGCACCTAAGCAGTAAACTCCCCAACTGGTCCTTCCTCCCCAGGTCTGTGACGAGCCTCTCTTCAGCCTGCGTCTGCAGGACAACGGGCGTTTCATTGGCTGCGGCTCTAAGCTGGGCACCGTGACCCTGCTGGAGGTCTCTTCTGGGCTCTGTACCCTGCAGAGGAATGAGAAGAATGTGGCCACGGCGGTGAGTGTTTCATGCCGCAACTGGCAGCGTGGGCCTGGCTGTGCTCGCTGCCACAGGTGAGCTCGGGATCTGCTTTGAACCCGGACGCTTCCAGTCTCCCTCGTAACGTTTGCCAATAGAAACTGGCATGATGCAAGCGGTTGGCATGGATTGTCGTTAGCGGTTTGGGAGTACGGCTCTGGGGCACCCAGATTATCTGTACACAGAAGCTGTCCTGTTTAACTTCAATTGCATTTAAACCAGATTTAGTTAAACCAGTGCAAAGCCGTGTGTGGATGCACTTATATCTGTTTAAGTCTGGTTCCGTGGGTTTCAGTTTGCCCCCAGGCGTAGCTAACCTTGGTAAGCGCGTCCACACACAACGTTGCACCAGTTTAACTAAAATGGGTTTCAAATCAAACCTGCTGTTAAACCAGTGCAGCGTTGGGTGTAGTCCAGGCTTCCCACGGGGTCTCTCTGGCAATAGGACAGTGCAGTGTCAGGAGGGGTACAGAGGTAGGCTATCCTGGGCCCATGCTGCAAAAAGGGGGGCATTCTGGTGGCATTCCAGGTCTCACTAACACCAGGGACATGGACCCCTGCGTTCTCCAGCCTTCCGCCTCTGCGCTGTGCGGGGCTGGCGCTCTCTACTCCCCTGGCGTGTGGAGGAGTTTTAAGGCAAAGACTCACCCCTGGTGGCAGGCACCAGGGGAAACACTTGGGTTCCTAAGTAAGTGACCTGATTTCACCAGGGTGCTCAGCACCCCCAGCCGCTGTGGCAGCTCCTCGTCATGGCCCATGGAGTAGGGTTAGGTGCCGAGCTTTAAGCCCTGGAGCTCATCCTGAGGCACCCTAATTTGACAGGGTGTAACTGCGTCACAGCAGGGGCCAAAGCGCCAGAGACCCCACTCGCGGGGACTCCCCGCCCCGTGCTGTGTGAAGGAGACCTGTGGCTGATCTCTGGATGGAGGGGGATTGCAGGCATGCCAAGGGCACGGCTAATGTGCGCACAGAGCAGCGGGGCCTGCTGTGGGGCAGGAGGGGCTAACACCATGGGTTCCTAGGAGCTCTGCTTCAGTTCAGGGCCCAGGATTCCTCCCCACAGCCCTGTCGCTGGGGGCCCAGGTCCCCGAGCCCTAGCCCTCTCCTGCCCCCTGTGCCTCTCAGATGTTTGAGCGAGAGACAAAGCGAGAGAAGATCCTGGAGGCCCGGCACCGGGAGATGCGTCTGAAGGAGCGCACCAAGGCCGAGGGCAAGGAGGAGGACGTGAAGGTGGAGACGGAGGAGGAGACGCCTGAGGAGCTGCTGGCCAGAGTCCAGAAGGAGTTCTTCGAGATCATCGAAGCAGAGATCAGGAGGAAGGAGCGGGCAGCCAAGCTGTCGAGAGCCCAGGTAGCACAGAGACCCGGTCTGCCAAAGGGATGGGGTGTGGCTCTCTGACTGTGGTGCTGCATCCTGGAACTGGGGTCTAGGAGGCCGGTAGATGAGCTCGGGGTAGGCGGGGGAAGGACGCAGCACATCACGTGCTGTGAGGAGACCACATGGAAGTGCAGCTCTGCTCTGCTAGGTCCCTGTGATGAGGGACTTGCTGATTCCAAATCAGGTGGACTCGGTTAAAAGTCAGAAGTGATTTCCCTACCTACCAGTCCTGCCATGTGTCTTAGACCTGTGATGTTTATATCAGCTGTCAAGCTACAGGATTCCTGCCTGAGAACGTGGCAGGGCAGGGAGAGCCCAAGGAACACACCGCTGTTGCAGGCTAACGGTGTGTTTGCCTTTGCTTTCATTTCATTGCAGGGGACCCCGATCCTCTGACAAGCACTTAGCTGTGTCCTGTAGGTTTGATGGATGTGAGCCTGGCACTGCATTGTTCACACCATTGTCACTGAACTTCTGCAGTTATTCACTAAACCCTCCAGTGCTGGCTTCCCCCCATGAAAGTACAGGCTGTTTGACAGAATCAACTGCACTCCTATGGAGAAGCTGATTTCTGACTGACTGCACTGTCCCATTTACCAGTGTGCTGCCCGTTCTGGGGAGCTCTGCCGGGCTGGCACAGATTCCACAAGAACGGGGGGCTGGTTTTTATCCCGTTTGTAAGTATTCACTGATAACAGGCCAAAGCAGCAGAGCTGGGCAGGGAGCCTGTTTCAGAGAGAAAGAGGCTCCGTAAGAGCAGGTTTTCCATGCCTGGGGACTTGGAACTCAACAATCTCCCTGTTCCTTTCAGGAGAAGGAAGTTACAGATGAAAACGAGGACGAGGACCCTTACAAGGTCAGATTACACCCCAGGGTACACCCTTTCCCTACCGTAGACTGATTCCCCCGTTTCTACCCTCCCCCAGACTCCTGAAAAGCCCCCACACTGCACCCTGTAGCGTTTTTCAGTGTCCCTCCTCTGAGCACCCCAGCTTGCCAGTCACACGCCAATCCCCATGTGACATTCACACAGGAGCCAAAATTAGGGGCACCCCTGTCCCAGCCGTACAAAGCCTAATGCTGCAGCACAGCTGGGGAACGCGAGTCCGTCTCGCCTGCGCCGCAAGAGGGAACCGGGTACCTGGGTCCCCCACGTGGCAGCGCCCAGAGTGTAGCTGGAGCCCTGGGTGCTGTGGGAAAGGAGGGGTTTGAAAGGTGTGTATTCTCAGGGGGACCAGCTCCACTCGGGATATGCTGTGGGGCTGGTCCCCTGCCTTAGGATACCAGGCAGGTTTGGCCAATCCTTTATTCTCAGCCGCTGCTTCCTTCCCTCTGAACTTCCCCTCTCCCCTTGCACGTGAGCAGCTAACACTACCTCTCCGTGCAGCCAGCCTTCTTGGGCGGACTCCTCTAAGGTGGCCCCCATCCCATCCCTTCAGTCAGCTGCCGTGGGGCAGGCGTGGGATGGGGCTTCCTGTCAGCCTCCATCCAGTGCAGTGCTCGGACCCAGGCGTCCTGCGTGATGACGCAGCATAGCCAGTGGAGCCAGAAAGAGGAAGCGTGGATTCAGCTCCGCTGTCTTGTGAGCCTGCTCACTGCATCTGTAACAGATCTGGAGCCCCCCTCCCCTGGCTGGCAGGGCATTGGGATGCTGTCTATGGGAAGAGACTCTGGGCCCCAGGAGATCCTCCTTGGCCTAACCCCTGTTCTCTGTCCGCAGGAGGAGTGAGCCTGGCGTGTGGATCGCACAGTCGCACTTAATTTATTCTCGTACCAGTGCAGGTCCTTTCCCCTTTGGATCATTTCTACAAGAGAGACTGGATTAATAAACAGCAGCATTTTTAAGCCTGTCTGGTTGGGTCCAACAGACGTCAGGGTGGCGGGATCTGTATGTTACAATCCGCTTTGCATCCTGGGCCGATGGAAGAGGCGGGCAGCCATTCCCCGGGCGCCGCTGTCTGCTTAGAGACCGTGCTGTCTCCCCTACGCAGACCCACAGGCTGAGCGGCAGCAGCAGCCGCTGGAGGTCTGTGCCGTGTTCTGTTCTGCCTGCTCTCCTTCACCCACCTGCCCACAGGAGCAGGGGACGTTCCCCTTCCCCTCAATAAGCAGGTGGTTTTATGACATGACAAAATGCCAAACAGTCCTGGTCAAACACTTGGGTCCTCTCCTTGTCCCACCATGCACCTGGCAGCCACTGCGCCAGCTCGCCAGGCCTAGCGATCCCAGCTAGGGCGGCCTGTCTAGTCTGTCGAGGTTCCCCTGGGACACTCATCCATGTGGGATCTGCCTCGGTCATGGAACTGATTGGCTGGTTCCAAAGCCGCAGGCACACTCGCCACTCTCCTGCTGACATCAAAGGGGCCAGGCGCTGGAATACTCCCCGGGGAGGGGTACGAGGATGCACCGCGTGTGTGTGTGTTTGGCTGCAGGCGTGCATGTGACCCGGAGAAGCGGGGACTGAGTGCCTGTGTAGCAGCAGCAGGAAGATGATCATGGCAGAAGCAAAGCCCCCTTGTATAAATACAGGTGCACTGCTTCGGTAATGTGCAGACCTGGCTAGAAACTTCAGGCAGGGATGGGGAGATTGCTGCACATTCGTGGCTGTAACTTCAGTCTGCTCCGGGCAGGGGCTTTCTCCTCCTGAAGTTGCTGCTCCGCGGGGAGAGCTCAGAGCTGCGGCGCTCCCGTGCATTGCCCTGCGGAAAGGCCTTTCCAGTGTCTTGCAGTTGGGAAAGTGAAAGCAGCTCTCCGGGCCGCTCACCCAGCGTTTTTGTACAGAGCCCCTTCTCCATGTGGCCTCTCAGGCAGGTCAGTGTAGTCACCCCCTTTGTACAGATGGGGAAACTGAGGCACTGAGCGAGGGAGTGACTCACCCAGAGCCAGGAATAGAACTCAGGAGTCCTGACTGCATCCGGTAGAGCAGACTCTGTCCCTCAGTAGCCCTGCCCCCTAGCTCCTCCCCCCTCCTGCCCCACGCCTGTTCCCATCTGAGTGTTGTTATTGCTGCTCTGTGTCACCGTAGTCCCCAGATGGCCCAGTCGTGGAGCAGGGGCCCAGTGCGCTAGGCACTGTACAAACACAGAACGGGTACGCGTACCCTGGACGTACGCAGAGGTCTGCTGGGGGGACATCAGCTCCTCTAGATATTTGCCTAGTTTTACAACAGGCTACATGAAAAGCACTAGCAAAGTCAGTACAAACTAAAATTTCATACAGACCATGACTTGTTTGTACTGCTCTATGTACTACACACTGCAATGGAAGGACAGTATTTATATTCCACTGGATTTGTTTTATAATTCTGTGGTAAAAAGGAGAAAGTCCGCGATTTGTCAGTAAGTGGCTGTGACACTTTTGTGGTTGTGTGTCTGATTTTGTAAGCAAGCAGTTTTGAAGTGAGGTGAAACTTGGTGTCCGCAGGACAAATCAGACTTCTGAAAGAGGGACAGGAGTCCGGAAAGGCTGAGAGCCGCTGTGCTAGAGAAGGGCAAGGTGGCGGAGGGGCTCCGTGCTCCAAGCGCCAGGCTAGGGACGGGATCACTGACGGGAGACAAGCAGGGAGATGGCACGTGGCGAGGCCAGAGGAAAGGAGGCTGCAGAGATCGAGAGGTTGCGAGCCTGGCGAGGACAGGGAAGGCCGTATCTCTGCAGAAAGAATCTGCATGAGCTAGATGGAGACCCTCCCTCCCCCAGTTTCTCAGCCACTAGCCCAAGCTCCCCAGTGCGGATTCTCCCTCCCCCCTGCTTGCCCTAGCCTGAGGGAGGGGTCTGGCCCCACAGCTGGGAAAGGAACCCAGGCTAAGAAAGGAGGGGGGGGTCCTCATCCCTCCCCAGCAAAGCTGTGATCCCCTAGGGAATATGCTCGTTCCCAGCTCTCAGCCGCCCGGACCTTAGCCAGTATCATGGGTGGTGCGGTGCAGGGGCGGTGGCAGCCAGGGCTCCTGGGTTCTACACCCAGCTCTGCCTCTCGCTCTCTGTGGCCTTGGACAAGTCATTTCCCCTCCTTGTGCCTCACTTTCTCGCGCTGTAAAGGGGGATGATGCTGAGGCTGGGAGGCCGAATTCCTGCTCCAAGGCCAGGCGCCCTAGAAACCCAACGGCACTTTGGGGCGACTGAGCAGCCACCAGCGTGTGCTGCTGGGATCGCATGCGATGCGGCCAGCTCTGGGGTGAAACGAGGCGCACAGCAACCCAACCCAGCAGTCCGAGGGCAGGAAGTGAAGAGTCCTTGTCTGATGGAGGTTGCCGGGGAAGTTAGGTTAGTAGCATGTAATGTCCAGAGAGAGATTTGGACAGGATCCCTCCTTTTGGTAGATGTGCCCGGGGATCTTTGATTCCCTCAAGAGGCCAGGCCTCAATTTTCCGTCACACCCAGACACTGGGTGTATTTGCTGCTTGGGAAACCAATCAAGTGATTTTATGGGAAATAAAACTCTCTGCCCAGAAGCCAGTTCGCCTGCTGTCCCGCAAACGCTGGGTGATCTAACCCCGCAGCCCTGCCCGCCTCCGTCTGAGCTTGACGCCAGCTCCGCAAACGGCCACTGTTTTCTGCTGAAATAGACACCTTTAACGAAGCTCCCACAGGCCACACGGGTGCCAATCAAATCCCCACAGCGCCTCCTACCGTCCTGTCCAACTGTGGCTCTGCGTTGGGACAGCTGCTGCCTCCCTCTGTAGGAACATGTCTGTTTCTGTTTATTTCAAAAGAACCTGGTTTGACTTCTGAGTCTGAAACCGTCTGGTACATCTGGATTCTGGCCGGGCTGTGTTCTTCCAAGCTATTGATTAAATCCTGCTGATGATTTATAGCATCTTTCCATTCTGTTTCTCCACGTTGCACAGACGCTGGCTGGTGCGTCTACACTGGAAGCTGCTTCGTGACTTTTACACCTTTTTTAGCCCAACCCTCTGTCCACCCCTGGCAGTCCCCACACATAAACCTTCCCCAGAGGTCTTAACCTAGAAGAACCCCAGCTGGGGGAGCAAGCACAGGTTCAAAGCACGCAAAAGCACAGGTCTCTCTCTTTAAGGTGCATCTACACTGCACCAATCTTACCGCGGCGCGAGGAGTGCACACGCTGCACCTTCCCCAGCACGGACATCGATAACCGTGCAGATGGTGTGTCCCCTGCACGGCCAAGCGGTGCCTCCCCCGTGGACACGGCTGGTTTTAGCAGCGTAGTGTCCCTCTGCCTCCCCGCAGCCGGAGCCGTCACAGGCGAGTAGCTTCCCACCGCAGTGTGGACCTGGCCTGCTGTGCACGCCCCCTACACGCTGCCACCAGCGGTGTGCAGTGCAGACGTGGCCTGGGTTGCAGTAAGAATGTAGACACCACACCCAGGCACTTCCCGCACAGCCACCCTTCATGCCCAGCACCACGTGTGCCCACTTGCTGCATAGACGCAGTTCACACACCCAGCTCCCCTGTGGCACAACTGCAGGGCACACACACACACACACACACCATGCCCAGCTCCCCTGT